AGAAAAAGAAACAGGGAGAGAAAAGGGGGGGGGAGAAGGGGGGAAGAAAGAAAACAGTTTCTAAATTCCTTAAATTCACTAAAAACTGTGAAAATTCCCAGCAGGATGTTTGAATATCAAACGCAGATTTCAGAAACTTTAATGCCAAGAGTTAATTTGGTGGATTGTTTTTTTTCTTTTTGCTCCGTTTTCCTGTCCGTCTCTTATCTATGGGCTGGCCGCTGAACAGTGGCCGTGGCCCCCGAATTCCGGCTCTTGAGGCAAGCAAGGGAAGGTGAGGTGGGGGCAGCGTCTGCTTCTCGGGAAGGCTTGCTGCCAGATGTGCGCCGCGTGCAACGTGATGACCGGTCCTGTGGGTCTGACTGGTCCTCGCACTCTGTCTTGGGATTGTAGGACAGCGGGAAACTGCGTCGTTCCCAGGGCTGTACAGTCTGGGAAGAAAAGGCAATACAGTTGGTAGGGCCTCAATACCTCTGTGTCCCACTGCATCTCATCTGGGAGGCTTGGGAGGCCCTTGAAATGAGATGTTGACCAGCTATAGCAACACGTGAAGTTGCACTGCTACTGAGAGTTAACACTCAGGACTAAGATACAGGGCACAGTCTGGAAACCAGAAACACTATTTTGGAATGGAACTGCATCTAAGGGCAATTTTCAGCCTGTATGCAGCCCATATTGGTTCTGGTATCCCCCAAAGCACAGAAATAACTGAGCAGAGTTACACTTTCAACCTTTCTAGGTAAATAAAAAGTCAAATTAACAGGGGGCATCCACCTGCAAGGCTAACAAACTCATGGGTTGTTCCATTAAGTGCCAGAAGGGATTCATTCACTCACCTGCTCATCAAGGCCAGAGTCTGGTGTAGAACAACGCGTGTCCTCCGTGGACAGATGCCGCATGGAGTCTCGGGACAAAGGGGTATGAGGACCAGAGAACAGGTCAGGACTGATGGGGCTGCGTGGAGAATGTGTATGGGAGAAATCAGAATGCAGATAGCAGTTTCCAACATCAGGTGAGGCTGGCTGTGGGGTAGATGGGTTCCCCAATTGTGGGGTTGTCCGTCCATCCGTAGACCTGTAAGACCTGGGATTAAAATAAATACCAATATATAAGAATGGCAGTTATTAAAGGGTATAACCTCCTCTCCAATTTCCTAGTACATTCTCCCATCTTAATCTAGACAAGTCATAAGTGAAGTGCAGTAGTAGTGAATGGTGCCAGGAAAGCCTACAGTTGAGGCATCTGTTACCTGCCAGTGAAACCCCCCCTATTCCCAAGAATCCTGGCATGGTCCTTATAATTTCCTCCTCTCTTGGATAAACCTCTGCCCATGACTGTCATCCTCTCTTCACACAAGGTCCTTTTCTTTCAGAAAAGGCTTGCTGCTTCTTACACTTGGAATTCTTTCAGAACACCTCTCACGTGCTACCTCTTTCTTTCTTTCAGACCCCTTCTGAACCTGCCCTTCTTCCACAAAGCTTTTGACACAAACCCTTCTACTATTTCATGATGAACTCAACTGCAGTGGTGCTTTGAAGTCTGTAAACCCTTTTGAATTTTCAGTATTTCTGCATAAATATGTCCTAAAACATGTGTTCTCCACATAAATCCTAAAACTAGATAAAGAGAACCCAATTAAATGAGTCAAATACATTATACTTGTTCACTGATTTATTAAGGAAAATGATCCAAAGCTACATATTTGAGTGTGGCAAAAGTATGTGAACTTTTGCTTTCAGTTAACTGACGTGCCTTCCTTGGGCAGCAATAACTGCAACTAAACATTTCTGATAATTGTCAATCAGTCCTGCAATCAGCTTGGAGAAATTTTAGTGCATTCCTCCTTACAGAACAGCTCCAACTCAGGGATATTGGTAGGCTTCCTCACATGAGCTGCCTGGTTCAGGCCCTTCCACAACATTTCTATAGGATTAAGGTCAGGACTTTGACTTGGCTATTCCAAAACAATAACTTTCTTCTCCTTTAACCATTCTTTGGTCACGCAACTTGTGTGTTTTGGATTGCTGTCTTGCTGAATGACCCACTTGAGCTTCAGTTCACAGACAGATACCCTGACATTTTCCTGTATAATTTGCCAGTCCAATTCAGAATTCCATCAACGATGGCAAGCTGTCTTGGTCCAGAGGCAGCAAAGCAGGCCCAAACCATGATATTGTCACCAACATGTTTCAAAGATGGGATAAGATTCTTATGCTGGAATGCAGGGTCTGCCTTTTGCCAAATGTAGTGCTTTTCATTCAAGCCAAAAAGTTTTACTTCAGTCTCATCTGTCCACAGTACATTCTTCCAATGGCCTTCTGGCTTATCTACATGGTCTTCTGCAAACTGTAGACAGGAAGCAATGTTCTTTTTGGAGAGTAGTGGCTTTCTCCTTGCAACGCTGACATGTACACCACTGCTGTCTGGTGTTCTCCTGATAGTGGTCCCATGAACACTGACATTCACCTATGCAAGAAAGGCCTTTAGTTCTTTAGATGTTAACCTGGGGTTCTTTGAAACCTCCTGGAGTATTACACACCTTGCTCTTGGTGTGATCTTGGTCGACCACTCCTGGGGAAGGTAACAATGGTGTTGAATTGCCTCCATTTGTACAAGATCTGCCTGACAGTGGATTGTTGGAGTCCAAAGTCTTTGGAAATCATTTTGTAACCTTTTCCAGCCTGGTGAGCATCAACAACTGCTTTTTGGAGGTCCTCAGAAATCTCCTTTGTTCGAGCCATGACACACTGACATACCTGTGTTGTGAAGATCAGACTTTGATAGTGAATCCCCAGAATTCTGTTCTTTAAATAAGGCAGGAGCTCCCACACTCACACATGATCATCCTATTGATTGAAACACCTGACTCTAATTTCCCCTTCAAATAAACTGATAATTCTAGAGGTTCACATACTTTTGCCACACATAAATATGTAGCTTTGGATCATTTTCCTCAATAAATAAACGAGCAAATATAATGTTTTTGACTCGTTTAATTGAGTTCTCTTTATCTAATTTTAGGACTTGTGTGGAGAACAGACCACATTTTAGGTCATATTTATGCAGAAATACTGAAAATTCAAAAGGGTTCACAAACTATTAAGCACCATTGTACATGAAACGAAAAGCAGGTGAGATATCCTTTCTCTATCCCAATTTCCATTTCCTGTTTTCTCTACTGCTGTTGTCCTTCACTGAAGTTCAGACTGTAAACTTCTTGGGACAAGGATCCATCCTATTATACTTCATAGCAGATGTGATTCCCAAGTCGTGTAAGATTGTAAAACTTCTGAACTGTTCCTGGAAAACAATGCTCCCAGATGCCAGTGGCATTCATGCAGATGCAGATCAACCATCTACTGAAGGACATCATGCTCACCAGCGCAAGTAACTTGAGTGTTAGGAGATGCTTCTCTACAACCTCCCATTATTCACGTTCAAATGAGCTTTGGAACAGCTCAGAATTCAATATGGCAATGCTGCTGAAAAGTTAACGGCAGGTGCTTATCACTGAGGCATTTGGGCTCCTAAGCACTCTGCTGCTGAAGTAGCTGCCAACCTTACCTGCTACCTCGCCGCTGAGGTGGCATACTTGTGCTCCACAGCCACCTGGCCCGCTCCATCTCCTCACACTTAGCATGGAGAGTGGCAAAGGCTGCATCGGACATATCCTCTATCTGGAAAAGCAATTAAAGATGGTTAGGACAGGAATAGTTACTGAAGCTTTGCTGACTTGTCCTACTGAAGCACTCCATAAAGAGGACAGACAGCTCTCCAAGAACAGCAGTTGTTTTTTCATCACAGGCCTGCCTTATTCACTTCCCAAACATGTATAATTGAAGGTCTCTGAATTATCCAGTTAGCTGCCTCTACATGTGACAAACTTGAAACACATGACCTATCTAGCCATGAAGCAAATTTTATTTTCTTTCCTGAAGGAATTAATGAAGTACAGGGCAAGAAGACTCTTGCCCAGCCATCATCTCTGGTTCCACCTATCACACAAATGAGCTTGCAATCCTGTCTTTACTTAGCAAAGACAGGTTACAGCCACATAACATCCTTTCAGGGTTGTGTAATCCTTTGGATTCAATCCCACAGGAATGCTTCACAGCATGCAGGGACGTCTGTTTGCAACTCCCTCCAAGCATCTCTGTGATCCCAGGAAAAGACTGCTGCTTTAAAGAGTTGCGAACAGGTGCCACTTTTGTGCCCTCAAATACACTGAAGCATTTTTTTGGAATTTACAAGTCTTTAAAGGAAGTGCTTCAGTACGTATCCCCTACGAATAACTATATCAAGTTTTTTCTTCAAGGCTACCCTTTTGAGTACCAAAAGAGTAACCAAATTGAGATTTTAGACTCCAACTCTTTACCAGCAGAAGAGATTGATAAAAAATGAATCTGGCTACAACTAATGAGAACTTGGGACTTCCAGGGGAGTAATGTTGAATTGAAGACGGTTCTGTTTTTGTGGAGGTGATGGCTGCGGCGGATAAGAGGAGCCGGTGAAGGAGCCGGCTCTTCGGAACCACCTCTGGACAAAGGACATCTCCTTTGGACTCCTTACAGAGGCTCCCTGTGAAGAGATCGCAAATTAGCCATCTCCAGTGGGTTGAGCACTCTGGGAATCGTGGGAAACATTGAGCCCAAGCCGCGGTTTGGAGCCTTCAAAAGGACACTAGATTCGTGTACACTTCCTTTTAACTGACAAAGGAAACTACCTATTATCAATCTGCAACAATACCACCATTGCTTGGATTTTATCATATTTAATAATTGTATTTATGCTGTACTATTTG